GAGCTGGGTGGTAAAAAATATAGTATTTTTGGCATAAGATATTAGGAATTTACGGATAGGTTTGTTTGAGTTTGGTGGTTAAAAATATAATGGCTTTGGGAGCTGGGAATTTAGGCAGACTTTTATTTATTTATTATAATCTATTATAATTTTTTTAGGAAACAAAACCATATCAGTAATATGGTGCAATGTATTTTTTTTTTTTGTGGGTAGGAAGTTAAGCATTTATTGAGAAAAATGAAAAAGTATACAAGGACATACAAAAAAACAAGCCCGACAAAAGGAGACCCAAAACACTACCTACTAGAGGGACTCTAGTCCATTCAAATCAAACTAAGATCATAATTATAAAATGGCCGAGTGACGGACGCCCACAAGGAGGCATCAAACCTCACCACCTTCCAAACCTCGTCACACGATCTCTCCACCCCTCTTAAGATTCTATTATTCCTCTTTTGCCAAACACCCCCACAAAATGGAAAAAAAAAGAAAAAAAAAAGAAAAAAAGACTAGAATGCCAATAAACTTTTCCCTTTTCTTGAAAAGGAGAACTCAAGAGCACGTATGGAATCTTAGCATAACTGTTCCAATTCCACACAAAACATAAATCGAACAAGTTCAGCGACCAAGACCAGAGAGTTTGAACAAACTGATAGCCCCCCAACAGATGATGCAATTCCTTTGACCAATGCCTACCAAGGATCCACTACTATGAGAGCAACGCAAGTAAGAATACTTTTGAACTCAGTTCATGGCATTGACTCTCCCATGTAAAACCTTTTACGCAAAACTTCTTTCTAGGATTTTAACCTCCTAGAGTGAGGAGAAAGCAAATGTGAACTGAGGCGGAAAAGGGACAGAAACAAATGAAAGAAAGAACGCAAGAGAAGCCTCCAAAATAATCTGGGGTAAAAAACCTGAAGTCCCAACTCCCTCGCACAAGCGTTGATCATGGAGAATAGAAAGTAAGCCTGCGACATCTAACGTTTCTCTATCAGAAAGATGATGACGTTTGAAACTTAAGGACAATGAGGAGGAGGAATCCACGGACAGTCCTATCATGAATAATTACAAGAAGCTAGTTCAATGTGTAATGAGAGTAGATAAACTGTAATTACAAAAAGGAGGATTTAGCTTGCTCCAAGATAATGCTAAGAAAATATAGAGTTGATAAAAGATGAGAATTCATGCTTCGCATTGTTGAAGAGGGACTGTTTTCTTCAAACCATAGGCGCCATAGGAAAGCTCTCATGAAATTCAGCTGAGAGTCTTTTTCTCATCTTTGAAGGGATGACCAAGTAACACATAAGAGAAAAGGGAGAATATGCCTGCATAGGCCAACAAAATTCCAGCCAAAAGTAGATAATGTGTAGCTCCAAAAGTCATTTGCAAAAGCACATTTCCGTATTCTGTATACATAATGGACAGCATGCTTGAGATATAACTAACCGGGAATTTAGGCAGACTTTGGGAGGGCACCGGGCCTCTCAAAAGTGCTTGGAGCTTTATAATTGTATTTTCTTATATCAATAATATTTCTATTAATTTAAACCATCAAATTGGTATTAGATTAGTGACTGTGGCCATCGATCAATTATGGGTAAAATTGTAAAAATTGCTGCTTGAAACTAAGAATATTATGGAATTGATAACCTACGACAACAAAGATGTATAAATGGATTCAAAAGTTTTCTAGATATAAGTTGGAATAATCAGATCCTGAAGATGAATGGTAGCAACAAACAACATAAGAAGAAACAGCCTAGCAACTATGATGAAAGATCAGAAAACAAAACAGGGAAGCCCCTTAAGGAAAATTGTATCCTTGAACTTTGTCTTGTTTCTTTCAATTTGTATCCTTGAAAATGTCAAATAGGTCAACAACCTATTAGATACAAAATTGAAAGTTAAAATCTGTTAAGATACTTTTTAACGTTTTGGGACCAAATAGACACAAACGATATTAAATTTGTAATTTAACCTTAAAAAAAAACTATAGAAATGGGTCATGAGTCGATGGTAACCCTCTTGTATTTAACCAAATGCCAATGCCCCTTCGAAAGTCTTGGTGGGGATTCTATTTTACCATTTTATCAAAAAGATTAATTTTACCAATTAGATTGGGGATTCTGTTTGATCGGTGTCACATTTTTGGTGGCATGCCTATTGTCTGTTTCAAAAGGCTTCATCTAGATTAAGAAAATAAATTCATGGCAAGCTAATCCTTTGTTCCTTCCTAACATGCAATTCTGAAGTTAGAAAAATTAGTACAAATTGAACCTTCTCGGCATGGATATTATACTGCCATGCTCCCAAGGATTGAACATTTGTTTCTTTTTAGATTCTTATTTACTAGTTCTTTGCGCATGCCAAACAAGAAGTACAAGAGCATCTTTCAGGAAACAAATTTGTATGGAGCAACAGACAGAGAAACCCTGGTGTTAATGGACTCATTGCCTTGTTTTCTAATAATTTTTTTTTTATATAATTAAAACTTTTCCGTGGGGCATGAAATTACTTTATTCTTTTCATCCTTTAGTTTGGTCAAGTTTCTTGAATTTTTCCTGTCACGAATGCCATATATTTCAAGGTTTTGTTATAAATTTCTATTTTAGACACATAATTGTCTTTCATATAAAATATTGGATAATGATCTACTATAATTTAACCATTCTCAACTTATTAGTTTAATTCTTCTTGCATTTTTATGTTGTTTGTGGTAGAGATACTTTGTCATAACCAGATCTCCATTACTGGGTGGCTTAAAAGCCAGGAGAGAGTCTGAAGTGAGTTATACTGTTGAAGCCATTCTTGCTCATCCTGAAAATGAGAGTTCTTGGAGATATCTGCGCGGACTTTATTCCGGTGACACACACTCATGGATTACTGCCCCACAAGTTTCTTCCGTCTGCTTGAAAGTTTTGAGCGGTAAAAGAAACTTCGTATTTGCTTTGAGCACCCTGATGAATCTTCTCTGTCATGGTTTCCAACCAAGCCAAGAGTTAAGAGATGCTGTTGATGCTTTGAGGACACCAGACGATAGTCCAACAGATCCCGACCTAGCCAACACTGTGTGCTTAATCTTGGAACGTGTCGATCCAATCCGTGTTAACTATTGGCTCTGGAAGAAGAGCAAGCTTCCTCAGTAACAGCAAGGCCAATTCATCAGCTTCTTTCAGCCATCATGAGGTTCCTTTTAATGTCCTCTGTTGAGAGTTGGATTAAAGATACACAGTTCTTAGTGACCAAATATTGAGAGGATTATACTCAGGCCAGTAAAGATTACTCTAATTCAACGTGATGTTGCCAAAAAACATAAATATAAAAAATACTAACTCGTTTTTTGCTAAATGGTGAGCTACTTTCTGTTTCGCTCCATGCTGAAAATACGTAATGTCGAACCAAGTTTTGTACATTCAATATCATTAATTCCTCGTGATTTGTACTAACGTATATCATGCAGCTACACGATATCTATATGTGAAATAATATATGAGGTATGATATATTGGATATTAAGAGTTTTGTCATAAAATTAAAACCAATGACATTTAGTTAATTTTTCCTAATGAATTGCCAAACAGTGTAGTGAAAGTTTTGTCAAAATATATGTTCCAAGAACATTGATATATCAATAGCAAGGTTAGTTCAACACAAAAATGGCCAATGATATCCCCCAACAAGGAGGAAATGTGCGGATGCTAAGTCTTTCAATTCGTACAAAAGGATGATCAAAGCTACTTGGTGGAACTTGAACGCTTTAATTTGGGAGAAGGGCTAGAAGCCTCATTGAAAGCAGATGGACACAAGTGGCTAACACTGCAATTTCCACACTTGGGTCTAAGGGGAGTGCAAATAGTCTGTCCAAATCCCACCTATATATCATGGCAACAATCAAAAAATAAACATAATTGTAATAACAAAGGATGGAACTACGTAACGGCACAAGCTCACTGCTAGTAGATATTATCCTTTTTGGACTTTTCCTTTCGGACTTCCCCTCCAAATTTTTTAAAACGCGTTTGCTAGAGAGAAGTTTCCACACCCTTGTAAAGAATGCTTTGTTTTCCTCTCCAACCGATGTGGGATCTCACATTTTCTATAGATACATTGGACTAAAAGGAGCATAAATTATTGTAAATGGTAATCAATAAGAAGCTGCCTAGATACCCATCTGTAGATGCAATAGTGTTTTCCGAAGGGGTAAACATCCTAACACCGTGTATGAATACAAATAGGGATATGCAAACATACATTTACGACACGTTTAATAGTCTTAAGAATATTAACATTCGAGGGAACAATATTTGGTCCCGCGTTTAGCCAAGTATGTTCATAAGGAAATAATGGCATCAAATTCTTTGTATCATGGTTCTCAGGGCAGCAACTATTTGTAAACAAACATTACATACCAGAAGAGGATTAATTGGAACCCATTCTTCCTTTGGCAGCCATAGTTCTAATGCCACTCGAGTTTCTTCAGGAGAGGAAGTTTTCTAGCAAAGGAAAGAAGAAAACAAATTATAGCAATGCCAAGAAAGGACTATACAAATTATAGCAAGTTAGGTTTAGGTAATGACTTCATGAGAATACTTACTATCTGTTGCTTAGTAGAAACATAATGGAGTTGAATCACTTCATAATTGATATTTTCTAAGATGAAGTGCCAATAGAATTCAACATATTTTGACATAGATCCTACGTCAGTTGGTGGGAACATATTTTGACCTAGATCCCTATTTGTATTCATACACGGCGATACGTAACAAGCCAAAGCGGACAATATTTACTAGCAGTGAGCTTGGGCTGTTACAAAATGGTATTAGAGCCAGACACCGGGCGGTGTGCCAGCGAGGACGCTGGACCCCAAAGGGAGTGGATTGTGAGATCCCACATCGGTTGGTGAGGGTTACAAAGCATTCCTTATAAAAATGTGGAAACCTTTCCCTAGTAGACATGTTTTAAAACTGAGGCTGACAGCGATACGTAATGGGCCAAAGCGGACAATATTTGTTAGCGGTGGACTTGAGTTGTTACAAACATATTTTGTCCTATCATGATGAACAAGATTCTTAGTGATACTCATTATAGCTTGATTATCACACACCACCTGTGTGGGTGATGGCAACCTTAACCTTACCCAAACTACTCAGAATCAAAATCTCCAAATTTACTTTGAGAGCATCCTCACTTAGAACAGACAGATTTTGATGTAAGGTATATCCTTCTACTAGTATTAATGGAATTGATGTTGATACTCAGGCGTGGCATACTTCAAATTAATAGGAAGAATTTGATTCATTTGATGGAGGCAAGTCCATTAGACTTGGCAAGAGAAACAATAAGAACATCTAGTTTACATGTAACGCAGCCCCAAAATGTTCTATGTATACTCAATAGTGGCTTATTCTTGCCTCCAGTAACAGTTTCAGCAACATTAGTAAAATTTTGAAGTTTGGAAAAGGACGAAATTCAAAATCTGAGTCAGAATCCATCCATGTTAGAAAACAAGTAGAGTCCAGTACAAATTCCACAGTTACCTGTTTTGAGCCTTTCCCAGACACCCATCCAAGCCGATTGCAAATGCGATGGACATGAGTATCGACACATATCCCCTGAACATCGTTCCACGCCATAATCATGATCTAAATGCCACATGAAACATGATGAGGAGCCATGAGAAGCAGACCCATTACCAAGATAAGTTCCTTCTTTTCTAATAATAATACACAATCTGTCATACCAAATGTGCAATCTTAGGGCCTATCCCAGGCAGTAGAAGTAGCTCCTCCAATGATCTAGGTATGTCCCCACCATACTTCATAAGACATATTTTTGCAATCTTCTTCAAATTTTTAGCCTTTGTAGAATAAAATCCAACCTACAAGATGGATACAAAAGAACTCTAAATTATAGACAGAAAATGAAACTGCCCCAACAAGAACAGAACAGCCACTGTACACAACTGCTATTTTTCAGATTTCTCTATTCATGTGATTCAAATGCAATGGGGAAATTTATGTGCCACTGCTCAATAATTTCCAAGAAAACGTACAGGGTAAATCAAGCTTTTAATGGTTGATTCATCTGCTTTGTCCATGGCATCAGCTGTAAGAAGACCGCTTTCTTGGAGACGCAATGCTGCTCCTGCACTCCTGAAAGTTCTTTTGTCAATTAAAGAAAATATTAGAAGAGAGAGAGATTAATATCTCTGGGCAACAACGACAAACAACGTACTGCCCCTGGGACGTAAAAGTTTACTTTCAAAATATAAAATTTTGACATTCTAATTTCATTATCATTCTGAGTCTGTTGTTGCTTCTTGATAAACTTTCCTGCACCCAAACAGACTTGCACATAGCAGGATTAGACAGCTTGAGAAATCGATTTGTACGGTCAGTGATGGTAGTGCATAGGTAGTTTGTCAATGTAACAGCCCAAACCTATCGCTAGAAGATATTGTCCTCATTGAGCTTCCCCTGAAGGTTTTAAAACGCGTCCAAGAGGGTGGATTGTGAGATCTCACATCGGTTGGAGAGGGGAACGAAGCATTCCTTATAAGAGTGTGGAAACCTCTCCCTAGTAGGTGTGTGTTTTAAAACCATGAGAGTGACGGTGATACGTAATTAGCCAAAGCGGACAATATCTGCTAGCTGACAAAAGGTGTAAAGGAAATCTAGAATCACGAAAAGGTGTAAAGGAAAGTTCGGAAAAAGAGGAGAATTCGATAGCTGCAGGTTAAGATACAACCGTTTCTTACGAAAAAAACAGATGAAAATCTCTATAAACTAATAATTTCAGAGTACAAGAACTTGCCATGAGTTACGTGGTCTTTGGTTTGGCTTGAGAGAAGAGAAGATGCCAAGACAGCAAATCTTCTTTCCTATTAAAAAATGAAGTAAAATTTGTAGTTATTGTTTCATATAATGCTGTAGATATCAAATACAACATATAAAGAACAGTGGGTTTTGTGTCATCAGTATATAGTGCCTGCAAGGTCATTGAGGGAAAATACAATCGAACGTGTAGTGTGTTACTGAAGCACCTTAGCTGGCTACTTGGTGCCCCTGTTAAATCTGTGAAAATTTTGTGTTGACCGGATCCACCATCATCACTATCATTCACAAGGTGTTACTTCTAAAGATCAACAGGTAATTTAGTCGGTAATAAGAAGGTTACCATGTCATCTTCACATCTGTTTATTGATAAATTTATAGATTTCATGGTGCATCAACGAAATGAGCGTTTGTGCTAGAGATAGCATTTAAGAATACTTGAAAGATTTAATTTGGTGCCATGGGAAGAAAGATAGAAGACAAAAGGTTAACAAGTTAACATCCACCATGCCTCTAAAAATTTAAGGACAAACATGAGATGAAAATAGATCTTGAAAAAGTATAGGTTAGATGAACACGACTCTCCACAATGGTATGATATTGTCCACTTTGAGCATAAGCTTTCATGGCTTTGCTTTGGGCTTCCCCAAAAGGCCTCATACCAATGGAGATAGTATTCCTCACTTATAAACCCATGATCTTCCACTAAATTAACCAATATGGGGCTCACTCCCAATAATCCTCAACAGTATACAACTATGCAAACTCGAGCTGGGGTGTCCATTTGAAATTGGGAATGTACCTTTGGAGGAAGAGTACTACCAGCTCGCCCGCATCCCATGGTGTCTACTGGAGCTACTTCAGACGATCTCATTTCCCGAATTCCTTCAAGGACTTTTTCCCAATCCACAGGGGGTTTACCTATATCGTAATTCAGCTTTTTCTTAGGAAACAAAAACAAAAATAAATACACAAAGGAAACCCCTTAATGGTCAAAGATTTGTGACTAGCATTGTTTATCTCATTCGTTCTTTGAGATCAAACGCTCGCTGCTAAATACATTATCACTCACCTCCTTCTGCAACGCCTTTTTGTCTAGTTGGATTAGAATCTTCAATTCTGGTGAGAAGGGTATCTAGAGGAGGCTTAGACTTCCCTGCAGGAGAGACAATAGTTTCATGTTACATGTGTAAAAGCATATTTCCCCACTTTGTAACTTTATATGTTTAAGTGCATGAGAAACAAATTTCATTGATGTATGAAATTTACAAATAGAGGCAAAGGCCAAACTAAAGGAGTTGTAAAAAACTTCTCCAATTAGTCAAAAAGGTAAAGAGTCCATAAGAATTTTATATTCTTTGGATAAAAATCAGTCCATAATGCATCTTGAAGTGGATGTTGAGCCTGCTTTTGTCAAGATCAATTGGCAGAGATCTTGGGGAAAAGTAAGCTTTGGTCCAGTGAGAGTGTCAATTAGTCGTGAGATTTGTTAAGCTATAAATACAATTAGGCGAACTCAATTTACACTAATTATGAGACAAGTATATGATGGATGTGTGTAAAGACAAGCAAAAGTGCTACTAAGGTAAGAAATTACTTGATCCAGGGGAATCCTTTGTTCTTTTGAATGCAAAATCTTCAATATTAGGACAGCAGTGCTGCAGAGGGAAAGATTAGAAGTTTAATGTAACGGCCCAGGTCCACTGCTAGTAGATATTGTCCTCTTTGAGCTTTCCCTTTGGGGCTTTCCCTCAAGGCTTTAAAGTGCGTTTGCTAGAAAGAGTTTTCCACACACTTATAAAGGGTGTTTCGTTCTCCCCTAACATAACTTTCACCCTGTAATACCTCTATCTTCAAAGGATCAAATAACAAGTTTCTGAGTGAAACATATGAACTTAGCTATGAATGTTTATGAGCTTACTTTGCATTAACTGAATGCATCAATTAAATTGTGAGTGAAACAGGGTGTATGGACTGAAGAGAGAGTAATATGACTGCATAAACTTAATTAAGTTCGCCAGAAGAACGATCATATGAAGCTAAAATAACCCATTTGATGAAGAACTTACTTTAAAGTCGTCTTTAAGTTCTAGGTCAAGCCCGCTACCTTGACCTTCTGCCTTCTTCTTCACTGTTCTCCTCACGAATACACGAGTTTCAGACTTAGAAACGCCATTGGAAGATTGAACACCTGAAATTCCTAAAAGTAGTGAAGACCCAGTAAAGAAATACACAAAGATTAACGTCGAAAACATGGTTGAGTAGAAGTTCTTAGGGAGCTAGACCTGGAAGGGGTTCGTTTGAGGTTATTGGCATGGAAGATGAACTTCGTTTCGACATGCCAGTGCATGTAATTCTTCGCGCAAATGTAATCGAAAGCGCCGAGTTCCGAATAGGACAAGCAAGAAACATTGTAATGGGTAGAAGTAGAAGAATCCAATTTAAAAAGGGTCCTCCAGCCTCCTTCCTGGCTACAAATTCCAAAAATTTGGTTTGTGGAAGGCGCAGATTGGGTGATCAAAATGGGTATTTGGGCTACATGCCTTTTCTAATGCCACTCGCCAGATCTCTCAAGATGCCAAAGATTGATATCTTCTTCAACTGGATTGAGCTATCAAATTATGGTTACCTTATCCATTGAATAAAGCTCCAAATTGCAAGATGTTATTAATGATGAAGGTTTGTAAATTCCCCCTTCTTAAAATTTGTAAAAAAAACATGTAATTCTATAGAGATTTTATTAATCGGTTAGTTTGACTCAAACGTCTTAAGAAATAAATAAAAATAATCGTAAAGAATTTAGTGCAACTTATTGCTAGTTTGAATTAGTCAAGTTATAGTTGCATATTGAGTAGTTCTTAGTTTAAATAGACTGAGTTATTTCAGTTTCAATAGACTTATATAACTACAGTATAACACTTCATTTTTCATTTTTCAGCTTTTCTGTATTGTCTTATTCAAGTAATAATAATTTCAGATTTATTCACACATTTTAAGTGTTAGATATTGTGTTATATACAAATTATTAATTAAATGTGTGAGATTCCACATTGGTTAGAGAAGGTAACGAAATATTTTTTGTAAGAGCATGAAAATCAATTCATAAAGCATTTTAAAATTGTGAGACTAATAACAATACTTGACAGGCCAATGTGGATAATAACTATTAGCGATAGACTTGAACTGTTACAAATGGTATCAAAACCAGACACATGGGGTGTGCCAACGAGGATGTTGGACCCTTTTAAAATCGTAAGGCTGATGTTGGGCCCTTTTAAAATCGTAAGGCTAATGACAATACTTAATGGGCCAAACCAAATAATAACTATTAGGGTGGACTTGAGCTATTTACAAATGGTATCAGAGCCAACATCAGTTAGAGAGGGGGAACAAAACATTTCTTATAAAAATGTGTAAAACTCTCCCTCACATATGCGTTTTAAAACTGTGAGGCTGACGACGATATGTAACAGGCCAAATCGGTTAATATCTGTTAGCAGTGAACTTGGACGGTTACAAAATGAGTGTTGAAGCTTATCCGAACAAAATGATAAGAAAAATGCAATAAAAAAGGCAATAAGGGCATTCAATTATTGATTTACTAGCAATAGCAAGGAGAATCCTCACAAAATTGACAAGAAATTAAGAAAGAAAGAAAGAAAAATACAGATTATACAATCAAAGAAGCAAAACAAATGCTCCACTAACTAAACAAACTCCCATTCTAACTAAGACAACTCCATTAAAAAACATATACTTGTGATCAACATGGACTTCTTCAACAGTTTGTCCTGTTTTTCCATTCTTTCACTTGAGAAAGAACTTCCAAATGTCTCGGTCCGTCATCTCCTCGACCAAGTGAGCTCCAAAAACGCCTTCCTCATCGACCAAACTCCTCAAATGCCTCGCTCCGTTATTGAAACCGACGTAGTTCTTCTTTGTGGCCAAGTACAACACTCCATAAGGAGGCCTCACACACTAATTTTCAACCAAAGAGATGATTAATTCAAAGGTATTAGATGTTTGTTTTAGTCTTCGACGTATAGAGAATTACCTTTTTTATCAGTGCATATAGCTTCTTCAAAGAGTTGAGTGAATACGGGATTTCTGCCATTAAAACGATATCGTATCCGCCTTCTTCCTGACCGATCTCGTTAGCCCTCTCCCATGCTCGACTTGCTGATAGTTTCCTCGATCTTCTTGAAGAAGACTCATGGCCGATGATGCTACCGTCTTGACTGCTGCAACCATCCATAAAATCTTCTTCTGAGAAGCTCAAGCTCATTCCGGTAGGTGCTTCGAATCCATCACCCCGAACTACAGATAAGACTGTTGGGAGCTCTTCCCAGTCACCAGCATAAAAATGTACTGATGGGGTCAAAGCATGTCGGGACGGAGTTAAGGGACTCTCTGGCTGTCGACTCTGCCTGTCCCGAGCTTGTTCGAGATTGGCAAGGACATTCGGTATGGTTATGCATCTAATAGTTTCTGCACTCATGTCTTGAAAGTGCACTATGCTTGCTCCCTGTAAGAAGATTGAAAGCTGAGGTATAAGAACAGTTCCTTAAAAAATAAAAGGCACAGCCATGACACCTCTTTTATATAACTCTACAATAAACAGACTTCAACTTTCATTTCCTTCTAAACCAACAAAAATCCATTCCCTATTTCAACGGTGTGATTTCAAAGCACGTAACAGTCTAAGCCCACCGCTAGCAGATATTATCTACTATGGCCCGTTACGTATCGTCGTCAGCCTCATAGTTTTAAAAGGTGTCTATTAGGAAGAGGTTTTCACACCCATATAAGTAATGCTTTGTTCCCCTCCCCAACCGATATGGGATCTCACAATCCACCCCCTTAGGGGCCAGCGTCCTCGCTAGCACACCGCACGATGTCTGACTCTGTTAACAGTTCAAGCCCACAATTAGCAGATATTGTCTGCTTTAGCCTGTTACGTTATCACCATCGGCCTCACGGTTTTAAAACATGTCTACTAGAAAAAAGTTTCCACACCCTTATAAGGAATGCTCGTTCTCCTACCCAACCGATGTGGGATCTCACAATCCACCCCCTTTGGGGCTAACGTCCTCGCTAGCACACCGCCCGGTGTTTGGCTCTAATACCATTTGTAACAGCCCAAGCCCACCGCTAGCAGATATTGCCTGCATCAGCCTGTTACGTATCGCCGTCAACCTCACAGTTTTAAAATGCATCTAGTAGGAAGAGGTTTCCACACCTTTATAAGAAATGTTTCGTTCTCCTCTCCAACCGATGTGAGATCTCACAATGCACAGAGAAAGCACACTACAAAGACTTGTTGAACGCTAGTAAACAAAACAAATAGTTGAAACCCAATAACAAATCATGTCAATGTATCTTTATCAAAATCTTAGTAAGGAATGATAACATCTAAGAAAGTATTCACACGCTGCTTCAGAGTCCTTGTCTACATTATATCTTTTTGTAACATATTAAATAATGGTGAATAAATAACAATGATGATTTAAATACTGTCAAACGATTCAAACTCCACATTTAGAGTAATTTGTACGAAGGTACTACACACCACAAGAACATTTCAATGAAATTTTTTCACACAGCTTTACTTGATTGAATTCGCAGTTAGTAGAACGCTCATAATAGGAAGAAAACAAGCGACCGAAGTAAGAAAAACATATTTAACTACTAATAGACATGGTGCATACTATCGAAGAATATACGTATGGAGACGGATTAAAGATGGTTTGAAGGTACCTTGAGGCAAGCAAACACCCCAGGAAGTCCATAGCTACAACCCAGCTGCAAATACCAACTAAAGAGGTTAGCTTAAAAATCAGCAACACCCCAGACTGATGTGTTGTTAGTTGTTTCAGTGGATTAGAGCACTCCAAGGCTCCACATGTTGACATAGCATTATAGAAAGGGCAACCATGCTCAATCTAACATAAAGTAATAATTCAAGCAATATACTTGGGCCAGCAAGAGTTGAGGAAAAACACATATGCACAGAGAGGAAGGCATCCTACATTTAACGGAGAGATTGCCTTGGTCATCCTTCCTTGAATGAGACGACAAGATACAAAACACGATGACTTAAGTCAGCGTTAGAACTTTTAAGAAATGTACTAATGGTGCCTGCCTCGCCCCTTTGGGCCCTCACTTTGATAAGCTTGAAAAGATTCTATCTCATAAAATTCAGGGAAGGAAATGAGGAATCCACTAACAGCCCAAGCCCACCGTAGGCTAAAAAAATTAGGGGCATTACAGTTGGCATCAGAGCCAAACACTAGGTGGTGTGCCAACGAGAACGCTAAACCTCGAAGGGGTGGACACCGGGCGGTGTGCCAGCGAGGATGCTAGGCTCCAAAGGAGGGTGGATTGTGAGATCCCACATCGATTGGAGATAGGAACGAGTGTTAGTCAGAACGCTGGGCCTCGAATGAGGTAAATTGTGAGATTTCACATCGATTGGAGAGGAGAACGAGTGCCAGCAAGGACGCTAGACCTTAAAAGGGGGTTGATTGTGAGATTTCACATCAATTGGGGAGGAGAACAAAACATCCTTCATAAGAGTGTGAAAACCTCTCATTAGCAGACGCGTTTTAAAACCTTGAGGGAAAGCCCAAAAGGGAAAGCCCGAGAGGGAAAGCCCAAAGAGAACAATATCTGCTAGCAGTGGACTTGGGCTGTTACATAACACACCCAAACAATCATTTATACAAGACAAAATGTTTCAAAATCTAATTAATCATGCAATAAACATACTTTGGAATGGAAGAGAATTTCAATACATCAACCCTACAAAGAAAATGCAATGCATAAAAGTAATGCCCCAAGGTGTATAATTATTATACCTGATGTAAAACTTTACTTAGACCTGAAGAACACTACAACATAAAGAACATGACAGATCTCATTCAAATAAGGTCGCCTGATTTAAAGTTACTATAGTGGATTATAACCTCAAGTACTTTTTTTCCTCTAAAGCTCAGCTGTCCATCACAAATCTCATATTTAAGAACATTAACCAGATACATGGAACTGTCCCAAGATTTCAAATGACCTGCATAATAAAGATATATTTCAACCTTAACGACACATGTATAACCGTAAAAGTTATGGTAACTCTTGATTCTAAAACAGATTTTTAAAAGAAAATTAGATCTCGGGTAGCTATGACTGTAGAAAGTATAAAAGTACCTTCAGGTTTTGAAGATGTAGACTCCGAGCTATTCAAGCCCATTATATCGGCAACACTAAATCTACCCTGGAGAGAACGACGCCAATTAGCATAAATGAAGAGCTGTGGGGTTTTACTACCCCTTACGAATTGCTGATAAAGTTCCGTTATAGTTTGTTCGAGTTATCGTATCCAGGAAAAGCAAGAATTGTACTCAGAACTATCCGATGAACATGATATAGAATAATTGGCATAGCCGCTAACAAATGAAAGAAGTACCTTAAAGACATTGAGACCTTGCAAATCTACGTTCTCCCCTGCATATTTGTATGGAAGAGCTGTCTGATAAAGGTTAAGGAAGTGTTAATGGTATTCCAAAAGTAGGCGTTAAAACGAAAAAACAAATGGAATTGTTAATTGAAACGATCTAGATTATATTGGTTTGATTACTAAAAATTGCTTTTCGTAGTTATGAGAGGTACTTTGCAATAACAGGAAGAGAAGTATAAATGAATTGCCTTTGAAGGGAGAATCTCAACAGCTGGTGAGGGGAGATGGATATCTCTCTCTGAAATGGAAGGACTGCTGTGGCTTCCTTTATCTTGGGGCACCAAGCCAGGCAAGCACTGGGCTAGCAATGATGGTGCTCTCATTATATCTTGAGAAATTAGAAGATACCTGCAGCATTGTAAGGTCAATTTATAAACAAGCAGTGGTTTAAATACTCACCAAGCATAATATTCTCACCTCGACCCGAGACCGTAATACAAACACGCAAATGTAGATCCTGTTTTTATAAAGGAAAAAAGAATTTTATTTACTATAGGGTAAGCTCATCCAGAAAAAGGTTCCTTACATGGTAGGAGGGAGGACCATAGACACCTAAGATCCAATTAGAGAAGTCTAAGCAAACTTTAAGCTTAAAGTTGACACGGTTAGGAATCACGACTCTCCACAATGGTATGATATTGTCCACTTTGAGCATAAGCTCTCATGGCTTTGTTTTTGGTTTCTGCAAAAGGCTTCGTACCATTGGAGATGTATTCCTTATAAACCCATGATCATTCCCTAAATTAGCCAATGTGGGACTCCCTCCCAACAATCCTCAACAGGCACGATACAATTACTTACGTAAAATGGCTATAGCACTTCCAACGAGGGAGAGAGTCTCCTCATCATAACTATGATGGAGGCAGGTTATGTAAGGTCACTTGTAATGATCAGAGGAAGGTCAGCATTTTTAGGCTCCAACATGCCAACATCATCAGTACTCTCAAACAGTCGAGGAAACTTCGGAAAAAAGAAATCTTCATTATTCAAAAGAGAGACTTCGCCCAACCGAGGTTGAAGCTCAAAAGGACCTTGCTTAGTTTTAGCTAAGGCGGCGAACTTTTCAGGAAGGTTTTCATTTTTTGAACTTTTTGACATCAACATGAGAAGAGTTTTTGAAGTTAACTACCTAAGATAACCAGCCTCTACCTGAGCAGGACGAGGTTCTTTTTTTTTTTTTTCCCGATTGTTAACAGAAAATAGAGCACTTCAAGGGGGTGGATAGTGAGATCTCACATCGATTGGAGAGGGGAACGAAGCATTCTTTATAAAGGTATGGAAACCTCTCACTAGTAGACACGTTTTAAAAACCTTGAAGGGAAGCTCAAAAGGGGACGCCCAAAGAGGACAATATTTGCTAGCAGTGGGCTTGAGCTGTTACAAATGGTATTAGAGTCAGACACCGTGTGGTGTGCCAGCGAGGACGCTGGGTCCCAAAGGGATGTGGATTGTGAGATCCCACATCGATTGGAGAGGGGAACAAATCATTCTTTATAAGGGTGTGAAAGTCTCTCACTAGTAGACGCGTTTTAAAAACCTTGAAGGGAAGCTCGAAAGGAAAAGCTCAGAGAGGACAATATTTGCTATGGTATCAGAGCCAAACACCGAGTGCCACACCAGCGAGGACGCTAGACCTCTAAGGGGGTAGATTGTGAGATCTCACATCAATCCGAGAGGGGAACGAAACATTCTTTATAAGCGTGTGAAAATCTCTCACTAGCAAACGCATTTTTAAAACCTTGAGAGGAAGCCCAAAAGGGAAATCCCAAAGAGAACAATATCTGCTAGCGGTGGGCTTGGGCTGTTACAAATGGTATTAGAGTCAAACATCGGCTGGTGTGCTAGCGAGAACGCTGGGTCCCAAAGGGAGGTGGATTATGAGATCCCACAACGATTGGAGAGGGGAACGAAGTATTCTTTATAAGGGTGTGAAAACCTCTCCCTAGTAGACGCGTTTTAAAAATCTTGAGGGGAGCTCGATAGGGAAAAGAGAAGTTTCAAAGAAAGACAATATCAGCCGGTGGTGGGTTTGGGCAGTTACACCAAATAACCAACCTTAAACACAAATAGGCACCAAACCTTTTCTTTTATAAAAAAGTTCAGAACAAGGAGAAGGAAACAAGTATTGATCCATTAAAACTGAAATCCAAAGCAACCTAGAGCTTATGAGATCTAGAAAAGGAAAGAACAAAATCCCACGTAACACTTGATATCCAATGAATACAGATACAGAAAACAGTGAAGTTGCCTAAAACTACTCAAACTAGAAATCCAACCTCTGTATCTACAAAACCCGCCATTAAACCTTAGCTGATGAAGAGTAACAAAACATGACAACAATTAAGAGCCAAGAACATTGATCTAAACAGTTCGATTACTCAACCAAAATTCCAAGAACCCGGGACCCATAACACAAAATTACAGCTCCCCAATGAAAGAAGAACAAGAAAACAAGAAAACCCAAATCTCCAAATACGTAAAGAACGCAATCAGCAAAATCCAATAGAGAAATAAAAACCCCATGAAAGCAAAGAAAGCTACTCACCCACGGAGCTAATTGCAATAGCGAAGGGAAAATCCAGGGAAACTATGAGACGATCGAAGACCCAGAAACGTATTATAGTCAGAGATACGATTAGGCATGAGGAAACTCCGCGATTTCAGAGAAGAAAATATCGGTTCGGTTTCCAATCAAAGTCAAAAAGAATTACAACGCCGAGAAAGAAACTTTCACACCTGAACAGAGAAGCTTCGATCAAGACCTTCACTCCAAATTGCAAAATGTCCACATTACCCCTCTAACTTCTCGCTATTTTCGAATTTACCCGGATTGGTTGAGTTGAGAGTCATGGTTGACACTGCAGTAATTACAGGGAAAAGACGAGGGAATTCTCGGTAGAAGCGTGTGATTGGGATTAGAAAGTCAACGGTGGACGTTGAAGTGGCGATTCGGTCGGTCGTTTCATCGGCATCTTCACCAGCAGGTGTACGGAGATTCACTGACCTTTGCTCTTTGGTTGCCACGTGTGTTTAAGGTTGGTTATTTGGTGTAACATTAATTTTAATTTTATGTTTATTAAAGTCTTAAATTCTAAAAATATTTAATAAATTCTAAAATAAATTAAAATTTTAAAAACTTTTTAATTTTATATCTAATAAGTGAATAAAAAATTTAAAAATATCGAATAGTTTAATATTTTATTATACCCAAAAATAAAAAATTTAGAGACTAAAATTCTATGAATTTATATATAATTATAATACTTAATTAAATAAATCTCAAAAATAAAAATAATAAAAAAGCAAAACTTCCTTAAATATTCTAGAAGGCATCAAGATTGATTTCCACACCCTCATGATTTTACCATTAAAGCAGCCTTGGATTAGTGGTTAGGTCATCTAATTAAAAAACAAAGAAAGAAACAAAGGGGAGACATAATCATTTTATAAGAGTAGTATAGTTTTTGAGAAATTATTTAGAATAGACCGCTCCAATGAAATGAAATGAAATGTTTTACACGGTTGGATGTAGTAATGTTCGAGTTAATATATATCTCAGGATCTGTAAAGAGATTGTAGGTTTCCACATCTATATCGAACCTTTATTAAAATTAAAAGATAGTCGGTCAGTCCTAAACTCAAAATTTCCATGAAGAAAGGGGTGGAGTTTCGGATTGGTTCCAAGTTGAAATGTCATCGCCATATCTGCCTCCTTGAACTCCATCAGCTAAAGCATAAGCTTCAAGTTCAACCATTTCTTGTGGGCTAAGTTTGAGAGATAAAGCTCTCATGTTCGAATCAAGATTTGAAATCTTTGTAGTTCCAGGAATGGGAGCCACGTCGTGTCCTTGGTGGTGAACCCATGCCAGAGCCAACTGAGATGGGCTGCATCCTTTTCTTGCTGCCAATTCCCTCACCTTCTCGAATATGTTGTTGTTGTGCTCCAAGTTTTGTGCTTGGAAACGTGGGAGTTTCTGAAATTACCAAATGATTCAAAATTATGATGATGAGTTAACTATTCAGACACTCAACAAGGAAGCTATATCTTCACCTTTCTGTAGTCATCTTCTGTTAAGTTCTGAACGAAGTTGGCCCCAGATGATAGAAAACCCCTCCCTAGAGGGCTGTATGCCACAATTCCAATGCCTAATTCCCTATCAACGGTACCGTACCAAAAGTTAGTTTATGATCATCCATGTCATTGACAAAGATTTTTCCAATACCTGCACGTAGGAATGATGTCTTGTTCGACATCTCGTGCCCACAAAGACCACTCGAGTTGAACCGCTGAAATGGGATGAACTGCATGAGCTCGTCTAATGGTAGACGCCGAGGCTTCAGACAAACCAATGTACCTTATTTTCCCTTCTTCAACCAGTTTCTTCAACTCCCCAATCTAAAAAGAAAACCATTAGGTGTGAGATCACACATCAGACTGGAGAATAGATAACTTTTTCTCACATCAGTTACGAGGATGAATGAGGATGAATGAAACAATAGTGTGGAAACCTCTCCCTAACAGACGCGTTTTAGAAAAGCTTGAAAAGACAAGTTTAAAGAGGACGATATGTGCTAGTGAGAATACTAGGCTGAGCCAGACACTATGTGTCAGCGAGGAGGCTGAGCCTCGAAGGGGTGGACACGAGGTGGTGTGCCAGCGAAGACGCTGGACCTTGAAGGGGTGAATTGGGGTCTCACATCGATCAGAGAAGGGGACGAGTGCCAGTGAGAATACTAGGCTCTGAAGATGGTGAATTGTGAGATCCCACATCGATTGGAGAGGAGAACGAAACACGGTGTGAAAACCTCTCCCTAGTAAACGCGTTTTAAAAATCTTGAGGGTAGCTAGAAAGAAGAAATATAAAGAGAACAAAATCACTCCAGGCTTGGATTGGATTGTTATACTTAATATTCAATAACAAGAGTATGTGAAGAGAGAAAAAAGTTAACTTACTGTGACTTCAATGGGAACTTTAGTGTCAATCCGATGCTGATAATAGAGATCAATATAATCCACCCCAAGCCTCTCCAAGCTGGCCTCACACGCCGCCCTAACATACTCTGGTTCGCCATGCACCTCGAAGTTACCATCAACCAGATGGAGTCCAAATTTGGTAGCCAACTGAACCTTCTCTCTAACCCCAGTAGCCTTGAGAGCCTTTCCAACGAGGATCTCGTTGGTGAAAGGCCCGTAAATGTCAGAGGTATCCAAGAAGGTGACGCCACTTGCAACGGCGTGATGGATGAGGGCGATCATGTCTTCTTCGGGCTTAGCAGGGCCATAGTATGAGGACATGCCCATGCAGCCGAGCCCCTGCGCGGACACTTCAAGGCCTTGAGACCCCAGCTTGATTGTTTGAACCATAATTTCAATTCTTGGTGGGATTTGAGGAGTTGGGGGCTCTGATTTATAGGAGAGGAGAGTGAGGGGTGCAGTGAAGGGGAAGGGGAAGCTTCCTATGAGCCTGGTAGTGGTTGGAGGAGGTGCGTCACCTCTTGCGTTTTTGTGTGCTGTTTTTCAATTGAATTGTATTTGTTCAAATCTTCTTTTGAAGATTCCATTTTCGATATTAGGTGAGAGAGATTTTTAATTAGATGGTGTTCGTTGAATCTTTCTCCTTCATCATTTCCTTAACTAATAATTATACCACTATCAGCTTAGCTTTTGTGTTAGTATATGAATTTGATATTATCTTTATTGATATCGAGCCTTTTACGGAAATCAAACACAAAGCCACAAGATTTTATACTTAAAGTGGACAATATCATTTCTAATATGGAGATCGGATTGATATCAAACTTCTAACGGAAATCAAAGACAAAGTCATAAAAACTTATATTCAAAGTGAACAATATCATACTAATATGAAAGTCTCGTATTCCTATCACTATCAGTCTTCCCCCAGTAGATTTCATTGTTTGGTTATCAAGAAGTGGAGCAACATCACAATCTTGCTCAATTGGTTCTCTGCTTTTACAACCCTCCATGTAAGCTAGCGTTATGATAGCACATGTTTGGCAGTTTTTACCATCAAAGAGCTAGGAAAGATATAGACTATTTGGTCTTGTAATAGCTCAATCTCACTGTTAGTAGCGGATGTCTGCTTCGACCCTTTATGTATCGCTGTCAAACTTCACGATTTTAAAACGTGTTTACTAGAGAGAGAATTTCACACCTTATAAGGAATGTTTCGTTCCCCTCTCCTGTGGGATCTCACAATCCACTTCCTTAAGGGCCCAGTGCCCTCGTTGACACACAGCCCCGTGTTTGCTTTGATACCATTTATAACAGCCCAATCCTAATGCTAGTAGATATCGTCCACTTTTACCTGTTACATATTGTTGTCAGCCTCACGATTTTAGGACGAAAACGCGTCCGTCACCCACAAATTGGTCGGAGAGAGGGAAACAAATCATTTCTTATAAGGTGTGTAGAAACCTCTTCCTAGTAGACATGTTTTAAAACCGTAAGGCTGATATTGATACGTAATGGGCTAAAGTAGACAACATCTACTAACGATGAGTTTGAACTGTTATAAAATCTCGACTCCATCTCGCTCAATTCTCACAAATGTATCACCGTGTTTCTCCCGTACCCTGTACCCCTATTATTTAAGAGAAAGCAAAGACTTGGAAAAGCCTACAACTTCATTCAATCACAACTCAAAATACACAAAGACTCAAATGCTCAAAAACAACAACTTAAGCTAATTAACATAGCAACAACTTCATGATTAAGAGACTCTGAATACTAAACTTTATCCACTGATCTAATTTCCACAATGGAACTCTGGCGCTACATCATGGATGAGCCGATGAGCCATGATTTGATATGTCTTTTGTGTCAAATGAATCCCATCCCAACTAATATGCTTATCAGGATCAGAACAAACTGGCACTCTTGGAAATCCACAAATTTGCATCACATTAAAGCTGTAATCACCTCCCATTCCACAACAAGACTTATGCAACAATGTTCTATCAAATCCTATAAACAACACAAATCAGATACAACATACAATAACATTCAAAAGGTTTCTTAGGTAAAACGAAACGTACCGAGCAAAGAAGCGTGTCGAAAAACCCAGAACAATGCATTATAATAATCTCCGTACGTAATGATCACATTTCGATTCTCTTTCTTCAACAACTTGATAGCTTGTTTTAGCTTGCTATTATGATAATTGGCTAGCTCGTTGAAATCCTTTAAACAGTGAAACTCGTCGTAAGCAGTTGAATCATTGGTTTGGAAGCCGGTAAGGTAGATCGGTAGGCAACCCATTGAAAAGTGCCCTGGAATAATAACTCGAGTAGCACCATAACTGATGACCCTCTACATAACACGAAACACGAACATGAATTGTAATTAACGAAAACAGACAGAGTTGCTCAAATCAAGCTAAGTTTGGATATCATACTTTAGTAGCATCGATTATTGTTTGTACAACTCGAGGTACCATATCTTTTACTTGGGTAACAGTTTTGCCTTCAAAGAGAGCATAATTATAATCATTTCCTCCAATCTCTCCCATGAAGAATAATGCATGTTTTAGCTTCTTAGTACAATCTGCACAGAAATATATGAAAGTTAGTATAAAATGATGGGATTTTGGAGGAAAACAGTGTAGATTTGAGCAAATACTGACCTGTTTTGTTAGAACAGATAGTGTTGAGATGGGAACGCATCCAATCAAGCTGTTTACTTAGAGATGTGTTGGTAACAGGAGATGAGATGTTGTTTTGAGCTAGAACGTCTAAAGGCAAAGCGGTAGAGCCAGCCACTGCAAAGTTCACTCCATGAGTGAATGAGGCCTTCTTTTTCAAGTAGGGATTCACTAATGGAAGTCCAGCTGACAAAGCTGTATTGAAAAAGAATGGTTAGTCTTTATTCGATCGATTTCTAAACGTTTTATAAAACTTTCTCTAACCCCGTAATCTAATATCTTTTCTCAAGAAAAGGTTAGAGGCTTAAGATACGTCGCCCATGCCAATGACAACTTAGGTTTTAGCTAGCTGACTTCCTAAACATTTTCTAAAACTTTCTGGGACCCGTAATCTATAACTTTTTCTCTAGAATGGGATTAGAGGCTTAAACATATGTTGTCCGTGTCAATAATGACTCAAGTTTTAGTTGGCTGACTTACTAAACTTTTCTACAAACCCATAATCTGAAATCTTTTCTCAAGAACGGGGTTAGAAATTTGAGCATACGTTGTCCGTGTCGATGACGACTCACGTTTTAGTTGGTTGACTTACTAAACTTTTCTAATACTCTCTGACCCCATAGTCTAAAACCTTTTATCAAGAAGGGGGTTAAAGACTTGAGCATATGTCGCTCGTGTCAATGACAACTCAAGTTTTAGTTGGTTGACTTACTAAACTTTTTTCAAACTCTCGAACCCAAAAATCTAAAACCTTTTCCCAAGAACGGGATAGAGGTTTGATCGTATGTGCTCATGTCAACGACGACTCAGGTTTTAGTTGGCTGACTTACTATACGTTTTCTAAAATTCTCTCGACCTCGTAAAACCTTTCCTCTAGAATGGGATTAGAGACTTGAGCATACATCCCTCATGTCAATGATAACTCACATTTTAGCTAGCTGACTTACTAAACGTTTTCTAAAACTTTCTCTGACCCGGTAATCTAAAACCTTTTCTCTAAAAGGAGTTAGAGACTTAATTATACGTCACTCTGCGAATAACGACTCAAGTTTTAGTTAGCTGACTTACTTGAAGGTGAGAGTAAGTAATATAGTTAAAAATCTCCCTTTTTTATCTTTAATTGTGATGAGAACAGAGGCTAAACAAAGAGTAAAGAAAAGTTACCAAAGTAATCAACCATGAGTAAGCCATTAGAACACCTTCCAGTGGCCTTCTTGAAGAAGGTCTTGCCATAAGGAAGATGAGAGAAAGGAGTTGCAGGGTTCTCACGTATGAGATTCCCAGTGTCTGCCAAGGAGTCCCCAAACTGAAATATGGCATCGAACTTGCAGCCTTTTAGACCAAAACAATCAGACCCAAGTGGAAATACAAGCAGAAGAAGAAGAGGTAAGAAAGAAGCCGCCATTGTAAGTAATCAAGAAAGCTTCATGCATTAGTTTGAGTGATTCCATGAACTGAAAGACTGGGTCATTTATAAGCAGCAGCTGAATTTGGTTCACCCATTTGGTAAATTCTTATTTGACCGAGAATTGAACTGGATGGAGCTTCAAAAGGATTGATATTATCCTCTTATCAGTATTAAATTCCACCTTTGAGTTGGAAACAGATTGAAGCTTTGTTTTGCACGTTCTTTAAAGCTTTTCTTAAACAACGTGTTGAAGATGATGAGAAATTTAAGTGTTGTTTCTATTGAAATTTGAGCCTTTTGAAGAGCGTGCTATGCTCATCACCAACAATGGGACTGGGGATTCTATGCTATTCAATCATTTATAAGATCATTTATTAAAGTTGTTGGATAACTTGATTGACGATTTAATACTGTGGAAGAGAATTAGGAAACAAAATTTTTTCGAATCACGAAACTTTTAGGTTTATATATCATTAAAAAAAAAATTTGAAAGGAGAACAAAACATTTTTTAGAAGGGTATGGAAACCTCTAGATGCATTTTAAAACTTTGAGGTTGACGGTGATATGTAATGAATTAAAAAGATATTATCTACTAACAATAGTCTTTGACTGTTACGATTGATATTAGAACCAGACACCTAGCAGTGTACCAGTGAGGACGTTGGCCAACACCTAGCAGTGTACCAATAAGGATGCTGGCAACACCTAGCAGTGTACCAGTGAGGACGCTGGCTAACATCTACCAGTGTACCAGTGAGGACGCTGTCCAACACACCTACCAGTGTACCAGTGAGGACGCTGGCCAACACACCTAGCAGTGTATCAGTGAGGACGCTGGCCAACACACCTAGCAGTGTATTAGTGAGGACGCTGGCCAACACCTAGCAGTGCACCAGTGAGAATGCTGGCCAACACCTAGTAGTGTACCCATGAGGACACTGGCCAACAAGGAGAGTGAATTGTGAACCAAACACCTAACAGTATACGAGTGAGGAGGCTGGCCAACAAGGAGAGTTAATTGTGAACTAGACACTTAGCAGTGTATCAGTAAGGACGCTACTGCAAAAAGAGTAAATTGTGAGATCTCACATCGGTGGAAAAGAAAATTAAAATATTCTTTATAAAAATAGCAAAACCACTAGAAACGTTTTTAAACTATACTGACGATGATACGTAACGGAGTAAATCAGACCATATAAATTACATGAAGAAATATGAATCTTCTTTAAGCAACTTTAAGTTCAACATTCCCCAATTTTTTCAAGAACTATTTTAAATTAAACAAAAAAAACACCTTCGCATACACTTCTCATACAAAATTGTGCGCCCAAAACTTTGGCAGGCAAGTGATGTCAAGGGGATTCAATTGTATCCCATATAAAATTAAAAGTAAAAAAGTGTTAAAAATGGATAATAATTTGGAGGTATACAGAACAGAGTTTATGAAGACTTGGCCTTCAGAAACTTGTCGCCGGCCGTCAAGAAAACATGCTCTCCCAGTGCCACTTCCACTCCCGGCTGGCCATCAATGTAATCAACTCTCATCTGTTTCACCCAAAGCAACATCAAAAGATTTTTCATTTAAACATAAATAGTATGATGTAAAAGCAGCAAACTTCATCAAGTTGGGAGAATAATATAAACCTTGCCATTTCCAGAGAACTCAGTCTTCAAGTTGGAGAGATCTCTTGAGAGCAGGTAGACCTCAAGTGCTCGGGCGAATTTCTCGTTACCTATAGTTGTTCTCATGCTTATGTGAGCGAGAGAGACAGAGATCGAAAGAGAGAGAGCAAAAGATGCTGCAAATACCTTTATATAGAGCAGTCACAGCGTCCGAATTGAATACGGGTACCGGTCTGGCCAAGATAATCGAAAATGAAATCCCGGCTACATTTTGGAAACTCTCTTCAGCAAGCGTGACCTGCAAATTTCACAACAAGCTCATATCATCAACATGATGGATACAACCCAAACCCACCGCTTGCAGATATTGTCCTCTGAGCTTTCCCGGAAGGTTTTTAAAACGCATCTACTAGGGAGAAGTTTCCACACTTTTATAAACAATGTTGTATCATAGAACAACCACGGGTAGAAGGAATATAACAAAAATGATGGAAGACAACACCAGCCCCTTCATGCTTAGGTAGGCTAAGCACTCCAATATAGAGAACAGAAATCTAATCAAACGATTCAAACGGAAGGTGACTTAATGAATCCACGAGCTAGACGGAATAACGCCAACAGTTTTACGATTCACTAAATGAGTCGACATGATATACATTAAGGAAGCAACTTACTGCATGTGAAGGCAACGAAGCAGACGGAAGCAAGGGTGAACCGATTGCCTCGCTTATGTATAGTTCCTGTCCGATGCATACATTTCAGTTAGTCATGGACCGAGGCCATCTACAATGTAAAGCAACTGAGATGGTAATTTCAAAAATAGGCAGCTAACTACCAACCTGTGCATTTAAAACTCTTTGCGCAACTGATGCATCCTCATCTTGTGATCGAAAATACACCTCTACGGAGTCGGTAGGTTCAAGGGCAGCTTTCTTTCTCAACTTCTGGATTCTATTAACAATCTAAAATGGATAATCTAGTTAGTGAATTAGGATATAAAAGAACTCAATAATGTAATAACAAAGTTTATCAACATTTGGCTAACAATATGATAAAAGGATGCGACTATAACATCTATCTTTTTCTCTAATTAGGAAATACAAATTCAATGTGAAACTTTGTTTGCACTCCAAATATTGAATCAAAAGGCCTAAGTTGGAGGTATTTTATGTAATTTAGCCTAAATGTTATGCATTTTCATACTAAAACAACTAACCCAATGCAAAATTACTCAACAAAGCGTTTAAAAATTTGTGATCATAATATATCAGATATAGAGATCAAGCATAGAACATGCAAGGTACCTCACGAGCAACACCAGCCTCGAATAGAGATTCATCTGGACGTAGATCCAAAATCACTAGTACATCACCTAAAATGAAGAACAAGAACTTAGTGAGAGCAAAGACCCTTGGACAGTTAAATAACACTGATTCGTTAACGATTCTCACCATCCCCAGCAGCATCCATTTCCTTGTCTGTCATACCATCAGGTCGTTTGAAATCACGGACAACCTTAAGTCAACAATGAATTTCAGGGTAAGTTACAAATTAGCATAACTTAATTAGCACAGACCAACGGGATACCGACAACATCAATGCCTTGATTCCCCCAACAATGCACAGAGAAGCCTTTCTTACCCTAAAGGGTACAGAGTTTAACAAAAAAACTCACAAAAGATATGTACCTCCAAATGCACATACATACAAGTCCATCTATAAATCGACCTCATGAACAGATGAATTACTCAATCCAAGATCATAGCATATTTTAACAAGAATGGACAGCAAGAATTACTGCCTTGAAAGTGAAAGCAGATACCTTTATGTCAGATAACCTTAAACAATGAGTAGCAATAGTAACTTCTCCCACTTTCTCAAAAGCCAAGATATCTTCCTGTGACATGGCTTTGACTTCCTTTGCCACGACTCCCATAGCTTTTCCAAGACGCTTACCCAGCACACTAGAAGAGAATGATCATATTCAAACATCTGAACGAAGAGATGAAAATTGTTTTGAACGGTAGTTTTTCATACCTAAAATCTGGCTCAGCACGAAGAGATGCATACTTCAACGTATCATTGCATGGGATAAGAGATCTTATGTTCAATTCCTCTAGAACGTACTGCATTGCGCAGATAAACCATCAGAAATTAAACGAAGAACAAAAGGATAATCAGGCGTAAAAATTAATAATGAAACCTGAAACAAAAGGTACAAGTGAATAGCACAAATATTTATGTTATAATGAGACTATAGACATTCCAAGTTCATCATGTAAGTAAATATGATATTAGCTTACAAGATATATACCTCTCTAAGCTTTCTGGCTATGTCATCAAGAAAATCTTTGTCAGGATGAACCACTATCATTTCTCTGATGAGATTATAGAATTAGATATTTAAAAAAAGGGGGACAAATAGAACAAAATCAGCAAGAAGCAGAAAGTATGCATCGACAAACCTCAAAGGAGTTTTAAGAGGTTTGTTATGACGCTCCCGAATGTTGCGAGCAAGATCAATAATTGTCATCATCCTTGTAACACTTTCTTCAATTCTTTCACCTCTCTAAGTTAGGCATTCAATAAAGAATATCAAATATCATAAAGTGAGGTAGAATGAGGCAAGGGAAGGAGCAGATGGATGATGGAAAAAACAATATAGGAGAAGTCTCTCAAAGACATGTGATGATCGTAGAGAAGAGAAAGAAGGTCCACCACCTCAAACACTTCTCTGTTAGAAAGGGGGCGACAAATTCTCAAAGCAACAAAGAGGAAGAATTAAAGATCAGAAGCCATAAGCAACTTTTTATTTGAAATGTGATATAATTGCAAGAAAACCTCCTAGAAGGGCATATCACAAACCCAACAATTCTTCCCTGAAAAACACACCCAAACCATACCCAACACAACAATTTAAAATTTGAGAAAAGAAAGGGAAACCAAAGGGATTCGCTTTCCAGAGTTCATTAGCAGGCAAATGGTGCCCCTGCTAGCAACCCACTCAAATGAGTGAGGACCATACCTACTCCGACGACTTTGTGCCACAACTTGTCACCCAGAAAATAATTTCCAAAAATGAAATTACTAATAATATTGCATATGAATTTATTGATAATAAGTACCTTTCCTCCTTCCTGAGGATAAGAACAGTAATGAATGCTTTCCTCTGACCCATCAGAAACCTTCCGTAAGTTTTGATATAAAGCTTCGGTGAAAAATGGTGTAAATGGAGCCATGACCATACAAGATGTTAAAAGGACCTGAAGGCACAATATACTGCGTGTTCAGAATGAAATAGAAACTAAAATGAACAAGAAAATAACAGATTGGAAGTTAAGGAAAAAAACAGAATATAGTATTCCTTTTAAAAAAAAAAATTATGTTTCAACATTAACTCGCATCAAACAAAAATGATTTGCATTAACCCAAAAAAAAAATTGCAGTAAACAAGATATTCATTTAAAAGATAATGACAGTTCCCAAAAAATTTAAAGAACTAAGTCATTCCAAAAATGGAAATATACAACATAGTAATTAAAATTGAACAAAAATAAAGAAGCGACGCACGTCAACCAAGCATCTTATAACATAATATATGTACAAAAAAGAATGAACTCCATATAAACTAACGGCACTCGTTCTGTCTCCTCGAATAAATGGAACTGCATCATTAATGTATCTAATCTTCGAATAATTTGTCTACTGAAAAATGACCAAGATCCATCTTATATCTATTGGATTCCTCACAAGGTGAGCAGCTTTCGTCAGCATAAGTCTTTAATAAGATGAGTCGCTCACCCTACCACATCTTATCTAACATCGAACACAAGCAGTAATGAAAATGCCATGTTTGTTTTCAACATGTCATGTCCAGATCTCAACTCAATTTACAGAGATACCGAAAACAATAAAAAAAAAAAAAAAAACAGAACACTTCATAAACCACATATGCAGTTTTGTACATTACCAAAAAGTAGATAGTTTTAACAATCATTTATCTAAATAGAGGAAAAAGATGTATCATACATGGTACAGAGTAGAGAGTGCTATCCTGCAGTCTTCTTCCCCAGTACGGCCCTTTAGTCTCTTGCGGTTGAACCTCACATAAATATTTGTAAGGTTGTCAAGAAACTTTAGAAGATATGGAACTACCTGTAATATCGTGAACACAATTAATGATGAAAAATGCTAAACAACCACAAAGAAAGACCAAAATTTAAAACTTCAATTGAAAAGAAAAGAAACAAAATTTACACAACTGTTAACAGAAATCTAAAACAGGCCTTGAGGTGTCGTTTCACGTAACCCTTAATTTTAATCTAAACTTATACCAATCATGAGATATATAATCAGATTACAGATCAGTCATATCGAAAATAAGCCAGTAGCCGAAAGTTCCTAACCGTGTACAGTCGGTACCCATCCATTTCTTTTCTGACAAAATATACTAAACTCTGGGTGGCAGAGTTTATCCATTGGTCAAGCACATTGAATGACTTTTGAAGGGTAGCTTGATCTACGGGAGAAAATGGTGCAAATCCCTCAATTTCGAGCCTCTTGGCGTTCTGAACAAGGAATCTATAGGCATTATACCATGGAAGGAAAACATCCCTGACCTGCGAACAATCCATAAAGCAGAAGGTTAAAACATATCAGGAAGAAAAATTAGAGTAGAAAGCTGGATCTCTGTAATGCATTCCATGAAGTATCATCAAAGTTAATGCAAAAATGGGTGCCCAAGTGATGCACCAAGTAAACTTGATACGTCGTAAGATATCAGTAAAGACTCACAACACCAAAAACGCCCTCCTTCTTGAAGCGTAAAGTCTCTGCACGTACAACTGGAGAATTTATAAGATATAATCTCAGAGCATCCTGCATGACGAAAAAAGACACTAACTTTCATAAAATAATAACCACTATTAATTAAAAGGAAAGTGCAATGACTCTCTTGATGCTTGCTTTTCTGTTTTTTTATTTATCTTTTTTTTTATTTTTTTGTACAAAAAGGAAGGAAGAGCCTTCCAACCACACAAAGTGGGAATACAAAGACTTCCCCACCTAGCAATGAGGTTTGTGAGACTCCAGTCTTTAAGAACGTTGGTACATTTACACCACTCTAGATGCTTTCAATATCTTCAGAATAACGAAAAGTGAAGTCTGAGAAACATAAGAAACACATATAATACAGAACTTACAGCTCCATAATCATTTATGATTTCCATTGGTGAAGGATAATTTTTCAACCTTTTGCTCATCTTCTTTCCATCCTCAGCAAGGACAAGGCCATTACAAATAAGGTTCCTAAATGCGGGCTTCCCAAATAAAGCAGTAGATAGAACCATGAGAGTATAGAACCTGCAAAAGTAAAGGGCAGACATTGGAAAAAGAGACGCCGCCCAAGAATCCACGAATATAAACCCAAATTTTGGTGCATGAGAGAGAATGAGTTTGTTTCTTAACTGAATGTGAACAACGAAAATTTGAACTTATTACGGGAAAAAAAAAGAACTTTTTAGAAAATGTACCAACCCATTTATAATCAAATAGCTCAAAGGTAACTTTCTTTTATATGAAATATTCTACCAGGCCACAAATATATACATGCAGAGGGGAAAACAAGGAATTCGAACCCAAACTAGAAGCTTAGGGACAGATAAAACTTCCCATGAGTCATTAATAAACGTGACAGGTACCTGAAAAATTCCAAGGTGATGCACTCTATCCCAAGCATCAAGCAAAACCACCCTATAATCTAAATTTTCCCATTTCTGGCATCCCAAACTATCCACCAAATAGCAAGCATCATAGTTGAAGAAAAGATTGTATCCTTGGAACCTAGACCAAAAAACCATTCAGAATACCATACTTCCAAAGAAAATAACGACTGACAAAAAGGGTGCCCCACAATTTGTCCTCACCAAAAATCCTCATAAAGGGCAACATACAAGGATTTCGTCAATATTGTCCCCAAATTTTTCACGTATTTTCCCCAAAATTTCCAAGTAACATTAGCTTGATGCTTCTCCTAATTCTTATCAGGAATAATCTCCTAAGAACAGGTTCAATTTTTACTTCCATGTTAAGTAAAAAAAAAGAGTAACCACCAATAACATATCTCGGATACTCAGATTAAGCACCCAGATATGTCTTCTGGACCTTCACAAATGTGCCCTTTAGTAAAAAGGAAGGAGAGATTTTATAAACAGCATTTTATCTATTGCCCTTCTACAAGCTGGCTTCGAGAAAAAAACTATGAAGCAGAGTCTTTCACAACTTCTGCTTCCTACTTTCCTATCTAGATCTGTAATTTAAATTTTGAGCGACATGTCAACACTACATCACCAAGCTCGACATTTAGACTAGTAGAAAAACCATTTTTCACTTCTACATTTCTGACATGTCATCTATCTTCTTTAATGCCATCAATATCCTGATACTTCGTGACATTTCAGTGCAAGATCAAAAGACTTCCACATTTCATTGAAAACAAATTGTTACTTTCATAGCCTCATGTAAACAGAAAACCCAGTAAGAATCTGGTTGATAAGAGAGAAAGAAAAGTTTATTTATAGGAGATCCATTACCCCTCCTTTTCTCAGAACTCATCCATGTGAGACAAACAACGACATACTAAAACTTTCTCAAGTATACTTTCCCTACACGGACACAGCATACCAGACACCACCATATTCTCTCCTTTTCCTCCCTACCTCCTCTCATATTTCTCTCTTTTTTTTTTTTCAGAAAAATAAGTTTATTTTACTTTGACTATAGATTTTAAATTTCCTAATCCTCTTTTCCAAGAATTTAGTCATATATTAATATTAAAATTACTTTTTTTATAAGAAAGAGAGGACTTTGATCATATCCTTTGGAGTTTACACATCCATATTATTGAAATATGAATGGTAAGAGGGACAAACATGTTGTAAACTATTAATATCCTAGATCTTTAAACATCAAAAGTCATTGTTCCACACAATGCTCGTGTTGTGACTGTTTCCCTATATCAATAAAAGAAGTCATCAATTTTTCAACCAAAAAAGCAAAAGAAGCAATCAACTTCAGAAGGAAATATATCAATGTTCCACTCTGATGCAGATATTTGAAATTTACGCTACTAAATTGAATCCAACAAATGATTTACAACTCAAAATAAAAGGAAAACAACTATGCAACTTGACACATTCAAGAAACTTACCATCCACGAGTTTGATCAAGCCCTTCTGCCACAAAGTGCCCAGGAAAGTTTTTCTCAAAAAGCTCAACGTTTTCAAATGGATAATGAATATATGCATATGGCATAGACCCACTCTCGAACCAGCAATCAAACACCTGCAGTAATGATGAGGGAGCAAAAGATACTATAAGTATAAACACTAAATGAAAATAAAACTTACAGTAAAAATATAAAGATATAAAACGAGGTTAAGAGAGGAAATCTACAGCAAAGAACTCAAATAAATACTTTAATTTCAAATAGAAATAATAAATAAATAAAAACTACGCCTATCCACATTTCAACTTCCAAAAAATTTAAAAAGTAAATAAAATGAGGAGTTAGAAGGAGAGGGAGGGATTGTTTAAATTTCCAAGGTAACCAAACCACATTATCCCAAAAACATATGGGCACAACAATACCCCTAGAAAGATTCTGCAGCCTGGTTTGCGACTTGGCCATTTGTTTAAAATTTCTTTGTTCTTTGAGTTGGTTTAGGGCTAGTTGCCCATGAATTGCATTTTTCCCAAGCTTTTGTGAAGTCCTTCAACTAATAGTAAAAATAAAAGAATGCATACTTCTTAATATTTTGCTTTCATTGAGGATTGAGGAAACATAAAAGAGTGTACAAGGGTATACAAAAAAAAGCGCAGCAAATGGAGTCCGTCAAACTACAAAAAATGACTCCCAACCAAAAGGATAATTACAGAAATCGTTAGTCGCACAGGCCAAAATCGAGGCATTAAGTCTAATCACCTGCCACAACTCGCCCACGAATCTCTAACCATCTACAAAAACTTTGTCATTCCTCTCAAGCCCAATACCCCAAATAATAGCAAAAAACACAGGCCTGCCAAAGGATTTTCACCCAAGTCAATAAGTTATATTAGTTCCTCATCCTCTTCCATTTAGATTCCATTTATACCCTCAAACCCCTCTTCTCTTTCCTTTAGAATAAATAAGCATCTGTGGTGGCTTCTAATCATCTTGCTATGAGAGAAAATTTAAACTATAAGGCCTAAACATTACAAAACAGTAATATCAAAGGAAGCCACTGATTTGACGCATAGCACAAAAATACAACAAAATAATTCCGGTAACTTTCATAGTTTCAAAAAAAAAAAAAAAAAAGTAAAATACGCCGGTATTGATTGATTTCTAGACAAGAAAAATAATATTTAAGAGAAAAACGAGATTAAGTAGTCTTACGTCATCTACCCTCTGAAGCACACCATATTCAGGACCTCTTCTAGATGGAATAGTAATGTGATCAATCTTGTGCCGGTGCAGATCAAACACCTGAAAGATAAAAAAAAAAAAAAACAGAGGATACCCGCAAATAATTCATTAGTAGTTTGCAAGCAGTGCCCACCAGAGCATATAGAAGAAACAGCTTAAAGAATACATGAGGGTGGCCAAGCCATATGATAATATTTTTACGGTAGAAGATTCAACTTCTCAAAAAATACCAAATAACCTTGAAGATTCAACTTCTCATTTAAGAAGGTAGCTGTTGCTCTGAACCAACCATCATTCAAAATGATTTAAGTTCTTATGAGGAGATAAGAAAAACTCCATACAAGCAAGCAGTTTGATAAAGAGAAATAAAACTCACAGCAAATGATTGACTCAACCTACAGCAACTATATTCTCAGATAACAAAAGCTGGTAAATAAAGAGTGAGACCTTGACACCAGAAAGCTGTTCAAGTTTCTCAATTGAATCCATGACCAGTATTTCCTCTCCATCCTCGCTAACCCAGACAGGGAGTGGTGTTCCCCAAAATCTACTACGGCTGACAGCCCAATCTCTCGCATTCTCTAGCCAATTATGGAACCTTTTCTCCTGCAATTTGACATTTATAAATAAAGCTGAGGCAAAAATAGATCACATGATCCATGAAACAGGTCTTTCTCACATCAGCACTATGTTTTTCTAACCCAATTATATTTCAGGACTCAGTTTCAGAGTTCTAAAATGTTTGTATTTTCAAGCTAAGGGAAGTTAAAAAAAAAAAAAAAAAAAAAAAAAATCATCTCTTGAGAGGATATATTAAACATGAAAAATTGTCATGATAGTTTTCATTCTCACAAGCATTGGTAAATCAAAGAATACCAAATTTTCACTGACAAAAAATAAAGGAATACAAGAGCATTACAAAAAGGGCGCACGAAAAAGAAGACGTTAATAAAGGCCTTCAGTTAAGCAAAATAAGATTTAACGAAGCATAGAATATATTAATATGAAATCTGCAAAATATCTTGATTCATATCATACAACCACCTTTGCCCCCTGCATAAAACTCTACCCCATCCAACCTTACCAACATCCACTTGTCCAGAAAAAAATGAAATATAAATATTTAAGAGAAGAGTTTGGCATAACATATAAAACCTTCACAAAATCAGGCACCCAGTAAGTCTTCTCGTTGTTTTCCAGTAATTTCTCCTTTAATTTCTCAACTCGGACAAACCTAGTGAGAGAGATGTCTAGTCGGTTATGATGCTAACAGTAGGAGGAAAATGAAAAAGAAGCCATAAGAAATTATTTAACATATGTCTGCAATCATGAATGAATATCAGATAAGACAAAGGTGAAATGTATATAGAAAGACAAAAATAGCAATATAAGCACTAAAATCAAGTGTGAAATTAAAAATCAACGGTAGTAACCCTTTTAAAGAACAAGTTGTAAAACGGATATTGCATAATTTGTTTGCCACAGTAAAAATACTCTTCCCAACAACTGATCCCAAAGTGAGAACAAACCGAATTGCACTCTTCATTTTTTCAGAGGGCAAGAGACATAGATTTGCATGTCAAAATGTACACGTGCACAAAAATAAAAACATCAAAGAAATTCAGACAAGGACCCTAACACAAAAGCGTATAACAAAATTCAAAATAGATAATAAATGGACTTGCCAGCTTGGGACAGCCCTGTAGATTAGGGGAGTATCAGATCTCCAGCAGAAAGGATAAGAATGGGTAAAGCTTCCCGATTTAACAAGCCTCCCTTGTGCCTGAAACAGAAAGATTTCTGAACAATAATACACGTTCAAAATGAAATGGTAAACTATTTTACTAGATTCCAACATATTTTTGTTCCAAATAGTTTTTTCCCCTCTCGTTTACACCTCCTTCGTCCAAAAGCAACAAGAAGATCAACATAAATATAGAATTACAATACAAAAACATAATCGTCAAGGATAAAGCTATACAATACAACTAGAATCTCTTTTTGACTAGTAATATGAACTAAGGAATCAACCTAAACTCCAAGATTTGAAAATTCATCCATGGTTGAAGTTACAAATTCGAAAAGTTTGCTTCTTGATCAAAAAATAGTTTAAGGATGCAAACAAGAACCGCGGCCAAATTGTGAATTCAAGGTCCCTTTTGAATGCTCCAAGCTTATCAAGATTGCGTCAAAAAATTGCAAATTTACAAGGATTTTCATTTCACATAGGAGTATAGTGTGATTCTATCTCTACATGCAATGGTTCAATATATGACATGAACTAGTAATTCAACTTGAACATACTATTTTAGGTTTAAGAACATACCTTCACGGCTTCAATTATATCCTTGTCTGCATCCTTGACGTAACGCCCAGAAAATTGAGTAATCTTTGTTGTAAAGCAACCATCGTCATCGACTGCAACAATCAGATTCTCGCCCTACAAATGGAAAAAACACTAAGACAGTAAATACATTGCAACTTATGCTGGGAACCAATTGGAGTGCACTTTCGCGGTCTTTTATTTTTAAATAAGATATAAACTTCTTATTTCAACAATGAAAAGATATAAAGGTGTTCAAAGGAAACCACCAAAGGCAAAGGCAGTAAATGAAAATATACAACATAAGTAAACTTCAATGTAAATATCTTACAAGGAAAAAACAAGGCCTCCATATTCGATCAAATATCATTACAGCAATAATTAGCAAACAAATAAGAGAATACAAATCAGATGCCTTAAAAATAGCAATGTTAAATCTTATCCTCCAAGCTTTAGACTTGTCCTCAGAATTTCTCTCTTTCAACCAAATCTTTAAAATTAATGTTTCAGGCTTTTGCCTTCCCCTTTTTGTTTTGCAGCCTTTATGTTGGCTTTCATTTTTATCCTTTATGAGATATCAAAAAAAAAAACAACTATCCTATACGAAAGTAAGGCTTCTCATATAAAAAAAAAAAAAAAAGAAAAAATGAAAGAAAGAAAGAGAGGAGGGAGAGGAGGGAGAGGAGGTTTCTCATCCTTGAAAACAATATGATGGGCTAATCAAAAGTTTTCTATTTCTTTTATATTTGTGAGTGTTCGAGCCACTCTTTTACATACAAATAATTCAACATCACTTCTCTTGATCGTCAGCAATCATGTTGCATGAAGTCATAATAAAAAAAAATTAAAAAATCTTCAACACGAACCTTATGGATCACTTGGTTCTCAATGCAAACACGATAGTCATCTTCACCGAATGCAGGAGCACAATGGACAATACCCGTACCACTATCATCAGTTACATAATTATCTGCAACAACTCTAAATGCCACATCAGAGAACTCTTTAAAGTAATCAAACAGTGGCTCGTACCTGCAAAAAAAAAAATAATAAATTTAATATCCTTCGACAAGATAGTAGATACAATTTCATAAACATTCAGGAAACAAAACAAAAAAATAGCAGCCTTGCTAAAATCATTGAAACACATATTGAAAATAATGAAATTGCTTACTTTTTACCCACAAGAGAAGCTCCCAATACTTCCTCCAATACCTCATATGAGTCCTCCACTGAGTTCTCTGTTTTTGAATTTGAGGAACCTTTTTTCTTAGGATTTGACTTGTTAACAACATCGGTAGAACCATTTGGTGCATTCACTTTTTGTTTCTCAACAGGTAGAGCTGACAATCGGGATTTAGCAACCACATAAACTTTTCCAGATGCCTTGTTGCGAACCTGGTATTTTTTTTTTCCTACTATATTAGATTATCAATTAAAAATAAAAGGAATAAAAGCTTCACATAGACGAAAAGTAATATAATAAAAATAAATTCATGTCATCAGACCTTCACATAGACGAAATTTGCATTAACACAAAGGGCAAGATTACTCGGAAGGGTCCATGGAGTTGTTGTCCAAGCCACAAAAGCTGCATTTTGCGGATCCCCGAGTACTGGAAAAGTTACCATGATTTCAGGATCAGGGACATCCTGTGCAAGGTTTGGATATCAGAAGATGGACCATAAGAAATCTCATGCAAATCAACAATTCATACATTAACTGGCATCTAGAAAAGTGATTAGTAAACTGATAATGCAATTGCAGGGCATGAAATTTAATTCATTCAACCACTAAAGCATAAGACTGAAATTTGATTCGAAAATCAATGCTTACATACACCAAATGGACCCAAGGAACGAAATTTGGGTTTTCCTTTAAACCCAACCTGATCCTGTTTAAAGTAAAAATATCATTGCTTTAATTACTGATTCTAATATTTGCCAATTAAAAAATATATAACGTGCTTAAATACTATTCATTATCCCAAATAAAGTATTAAAAAAAATTATATAAAAAACCATTTTGTATATTTAAACTATTATTTTCTAACAACAATGGCAAATTAAATGTTCACTAAATAATTTTCTTATATCATAAAAAATGAAACAAAGCATCACACCTTTGAGGAAAAAAATCAATTTTTATCTGAACTTAGAATGGTGTATCAATTTTACCCTAAAATTCTAATTTCATCCCATTGCACCCTAAACTTAAACAAATATAGCAATTTCTACTAAATTTACTTACTGGTTTTAACTAAAAAAAAAAAGTAAAGGAAAAGTTCGCCCAAGACTCACTAATTTCAACAAGAATCAAACCAAACACAAAATTAAGCTCAGTTAATGCACAAAATCAGTCATTTAACAATTCTCCCAAAATATGTAAGAATCAATTTTAAGATTGAGATTGCAACACTTACCAAAACTAAGAAACATTTTGATAAAATTCATAGTTTATGGGAAAAATTGATAAACTTTTCCATATTAAGAGGTGTTTCCCAAGTTTTATGTGATGGGGATGTTTAGACAAACAAATAATTATTGTAATAACTATAATCATTAAAAGAATGCAAGACTTTTTAAATGAACACTAGTCATCATAAAATTTAGTTCTAAAAAATATATAAAAATTCTTAAGAAAGAGAAGACATTTCATTGAAAATTTGATAATAACAAACATCGAAATTTTGTTTCCTATGATAATAACTATAATCATTAAAAGAATGCTATTATTGATTTCTCAATGAAAAGTTCTCTCTTTCTTAGTGAAAAAAGGAAAAACAAAAAAATGGAGCTTTTAACTTTTATAGGTTTTGTATGACAAACTATATATCTTTAATTTATTGAATATTTCATTCATTACATATTGAAAATTACTCACGAAATAGTGGACCTATCATACATGTCCAAGGCGTCTATATAAAAAACAGAAGATTCAACTGATATTTAATGTAAAGACAAATTTCCAATTGAAGAAAGAGCCCCAAACCTTATAGCTTTGACCAGCTTCGAAGTTTGAAAGTGGCGTCTTGCAACCAGTACTATATGGCATGACCTAAGTAAGCAACAACGCAAACAAATTTATATTTGAACTCATAACTAATAATTGAATCAAATTATTGCAGTTAATTATAATTACATTGTTTTAGGAACCAATAAAACTAGCAAAAACTGAATAGATGGACTCTCTCTACGCTCTCTCTCCTCTTACCCCTCTCCCCACCTTTCACCTTCCTTACATGACCTCTAAGCTCCTCTCGAGTGGCAGACCATAGACCCCATACCTTGCCCGCATCAAACAACTCTAAGCGGGTAGTTACCTTAGATCAGAAAACCTTTTTTATAGCCTTCGATGACAATTATAGTGGCAGGAGAGCAAGGATAAAGGGCCATAAGATGAGACCGGTGAAATAACTCCTTACCCATCTGAAACCCCTCAACCATCCTCTTCGCCACACCACGCAAGCTAGCCAACTTAAAACATCCACCACCAGGATGAAGAGGAAGGACAAAAGGGGTCCCCTTACTTATGTCCCCTCGAAGCAAAAATCTTCCCTCTAGGGGTCAAATCCTAATTTGAAGAAGATGAGAGAAACACAAAACAAGTTGATTGTATTTTACAAGGACTATTGCTAACGCCAAAACGATCTCCTAATTGTACACAAAAGAGCCTCAGGTAGCAATCCATTTTCATCATAGACAATAGGAGTTGCAAGAATGTAGTATCCACGACATTGGTAAAATATCTTGGAATAAAGATTGAACCTCACTCCAATAAAGAAGGGTTAGGTATAAGAAAGGTAACAAATCAACAAGAACATAACACATTCTGTCAACATAATTAAGGACAACCTTCAAATCCTACATCTCGTCGAACAAAATGAGTTATCCCACAGGTCATGAAATTCCACATTTCCTCCCACCCCTATCCTCATCTTTTTTAAAATAAGAAAAAAAAAATGCCATGAAAGAACGAAGAAGCAACTCATAATATAATACAAGCACTCATTATGAATGTTACCAAACTGTGCAAATGGAGATAGATTATGATAAACCAACTAACCTTGAAACCTTTATAGACAAGACCCTTCTCGAAGAGCTGAGAAAAAACCCACCAAACACTCTCCATGAATTTCAAGTCCATAGTCTTATAGTCGTTTTTAAAGTCAATCCATCGACCAGTACGCGTGATGATTTTTTCCCACTCCCCCACATATCTCGTGACTATACTTCTGCATTCTTCATTGTACTTGTCAATCCCCATCTTCAACACATCGTCTCTCCTCTTGATCCCCAACTTCTGATCAATCTCGTTCTCAACAGGCAATCCGTGGCAGTCCCATCCAAAGCGACGAGTCACGTGATGACCGGTCATAACCTGATACCGGGTGACAATGTCCTTGATGGTTCCCGCCAAGATGTGACCATAATGTGGAAGACCAGTGGCGAACGGAGGGCCATCATAAAAAATATACTCAGGAAGGTCCTTTGTGCGCTCAAGCTGGGTCTCAAATGCCCTGATGTCAGACCAATACTCAAGCACCACCTCCTCGTGCTTAGGGAACGAAAAGTCCTTACCCTCGCAAACCTCATCCATGGCGGCACTAACAAGAATTCCCGCAATTCAATCTGTAATTTTTCAGTGACTAAAGAGAAATATACCGACTTCTAAGGAATAACATTCAAAGCTTTGCAGCAAGAAAAACAAAGAAATGAAAAATCAAAACAAAACAAATCATAAGCAAAAGAAGTATATGAGACAGAGCTTGAAATCCCAAGTGACAATCTTCGAGCAACTCCAAAAAGAGAATAAATGAGAGATTTTAGAGAAATACCGGAGGCCGGCGAAGAGGGGGGCGCTTAGTACAGAGTAAAGTTGCCCTAGTAGTTCCCTTCAGCGGCAGATTTGAAGAAACCGATTGGAACGATTGACCAGCGTCCCTAATTTGGTAGTGCGTTGGTCTGGTCTGGTCTGGTCAGCTCAGTTTTGAGATAATTAAGTACCCGTTTCAGTTCGATTCTGTGGGTACTCAAAAATACCCGCTTAAGTAACTCCGCTTGCTGGAAGAGAGGGAGGGGACGGCGGCGATTTTGTCGCAAGGCAGACCTGGGGCAGATGAGAGTGCAGCAGCAGCTGCTGAGACGGCGTCAGGCAGGAATAGCGGCAGCGTGGCGCGAGCGTGAGGTAATGGGAGGGATGCGGTAGCTACGAAAATGGCTGTAGTTATTCCAAAAACCCAAAAACCCAAATCTTTTTTTTTTTTTTTCTTTTTTAATACCATTTGAATAGGGAAATTAGGTTTTTATTCCTTATCAAAATAAATAAATAGTAATAATAATAATAATCTTATTTTTATTTTTATTTTCTTCCTTTTTCATCTCCCTCGCTGACAAAGACATCCAGGGAATCAGATTCATTTTTTTGTGATGAGAATGAATATATATAATAAAATGTAATAAAAATAATGGATCTAGGAGAATCGGTCTGAATTGATCCATCTAAATATGACGTTGACCTACTTGGCCATAAAAGTTAAGATGAGATCGTCTCTCATCACATTGCAGGCCTAATCTTAAGCATCAAGGCGAAGCTTGACTCTATCTTCAGGAAACTAGATACGAACCTGAATGTCCCATATTTTATAAGGTAATCATAGTGTGATGCAGTTTTAAACAATCCAATCCAACATGTCGTGAGTTTATAAAATATTGCACTATCTAATTTGAAATTAAATAATTTTTGTTTACATCAAATATCGTAGAATTAGACACTTACCTCGTGGTTCCAATTTTCATAGTTGTTAAATTAATAAATAACATATGAGTTAACACCTTTTGTTTTGCAAAATAGAGGGAGCCATTTCTTGTCAAGTCTCTCTAGATGTAGCCACCCTAATTTCTAGACCAATTTGGTGCAAGTTGTAAGGACTCTTGGTATTGAGTCGGGACTTGACGTCATCTCTACTTTCCCTCTAGTATAACACTGTCGTTCTTTCGTGAGTGTGATACGCACCTTTTTTTTCCGTCTTGGAGCCAAGAGCCTCACGAGCCTATCCCGCCACTTTTGTACGAGTTTTTTTTATTTCCAAGAGAACTAAACTCAGCCACTGCTCTTGCCTTTTCCTTCTCTACTCGTCCTACTCCATTTTCATAACATGTGGAACTAGTTGGAAGTCTTTGCCTTCTTGCCCTCTTTGTCGTCGTTGTTATTGTTCTGGGGTGTATTCTGTAGGAAGAAGAAACAAAGGTTATTTGGATTCAACTGAAAGAGAGAACAATATATGATCTTATAACGCAAAAGCAGGTAATTCTAATCTATACCAACCTCGTCAAAGCTAGTACAAGTGCCTAGTGTCACAATCGCACAAGCATGCTGAAGACACCCAAGCAAACTGCACACGTCGACCCAGGAGGTGAGGTCTCCCAGAATGTAGATCTTTGTTGGGTGGGTGAGCTTTCACTGGAAGGGCCTTCAAGAGAAGCTCGAGCTTCCAAATATCTGTCAAGGCTGAAAATAAGTGTGAGATCCCACATCAATGGGGGAAGAGAACAAAGCATTCTTTATAAGAGTGTGAAAATCTCTCCCTAGCAAACGCGTTTTAAAAATCTTGAGGGGAAGTATGAAAGGGAAAGCTCAAAGAGGGCAATATCTGCTAGCGGTGGGTTTGGGTCGTTATAAATGGTATTAGAGCCACATACCGAGCAATGTGCAAGCGAGGAGGCTAAGCCCTGAAAGGGGATGGATACGAGGAGGTGTGCCAGCAAGGATGCTGGGCTCCGAAGAGGGTGGATTGGGGGGTCCCACATCGATTGAAAAGGAGAACGAGTGCTGAACCCCGAAGGGGGTGGATTGTCAGATCTCACATCGGTTAGGAGGAGAACGAAACATTGTTTATAAGAGTGTAGAAACCTCCTCCCAACAGACGCGTTTTAAAAACTTTGAGGGGAAGCCCGAAAGGGAAAGCCCAAAAAGGACAATATCTACTAGCAGTGAGCTTAGGTCGTTACACCGTGAAAGTAAACTAAATGTGCATCTAGGAGTTTTCAGTCAATCAACTAGCTTTTAAACACAATGAAGCGTGCAATAATGTTAACCAATGCAGCCAATCAAGCATATCAAGCATGAAAAATCTACTACTCACAATTTCTTTGATATTGAAAGGTGAGGCTTTCCATTCGATAACTCATGATGCTTTTCTGGTTTCCGACTCATGTTCGTGGACTCCGTCCATCGTCTGCAGCAACTCCCGAGCAATCTTGAACTTACCCTTCTTTTGAAACGCACTCTCGAAAGCATCTCTTACATAGATAGGAGGATAAAAACCCTTTTCAAGCATTGACTTTAGCTTTTCATACGCAGCCCCCAGTTGTCCTTGTTTACAAAGTTTCTGCAAAATTTGGGATTCCCACTTCATTTCCAGCTTCAAGCACAGATCAGTTTGCCCATCTTCCCTCATTAGTTTATCCACTATACTATACACATGAAAATGCGGGGATATGCCTAAACTCAACATTTCCTTCAATAAACTGTAGGCCGCTGACCAATTCCTAGCTTCACCGTAGGCATGGATTAGCGCCGAGTAAGTAACATGATCTGGGACACATCTTTTCCTGTTCATAATCTTGAAGACCCTTTCAGCATCATCCAAATTTCCTAATTTGCATAGCATACAAATAACAGAATTATAAATAGCCAACTTTGGCTTCATATCCTGAGAAAGCATCCTCCCAAACAGATCACTAGCTTCGTCTACTCGACGATGTTCACACAATGCTTGCATCACAATGGAATAACACTCTTCAGTACACCTTAGCTTGTTAACCTCGACAACCTTCAATACTCTAATTGCTTCTTGCATTTGGCCTAATCGACAAAGCTCCGAGATGAGCCGAACTATTACAAAAGCACTTGGAACTAAAGCCATCCTATTAGCTGCCCAAAAAACTCCAACTGCAGGTTCAATGGCTCCGCTCTTTGGATTCACATTTGGAACTAGGACGGTAAAAGGTCGACGAGTACTTCTGACCCTAACTTGTTCTACAGCCCCTTCTTTGGCACTCAATGAACACAAATCGCCAATGAGAATGTTCACAGCAGATCGGGTAGGTACCAAACTTGCCCTACGCATTTCATCAAACACTTCAACAGCAGTACCAAACCTACCAAATTTACATAATCCAATAATTATGTTACTGTATGAATATTTATCAGGCAATTCAATTCTTCTGAAAATTGTTAGAGCAGTATCAATCAATTCCCCTGTTGGTTCCTTCTTACAAAGTGCATAAAGCATGTTATTAAAGACCAGATTATCAGGTTTACACCCAAATGTTGGCTCCATTTCTTCAAATAAGCAAAGCGCTTCTCTAACCCTCCCTTGCCTACCCAAAAATCTGATACAAATTGAAAATGTTCGACAAGAAATCCGACCTTTATAAGACGACACCGTCACCAAAAGACATTTCATATCATCGAACAGTTTCCTTCTACCTAAGAAATCAGCCATGTACTCAACCACGGACTCATCAAACCGATACCCCATTTGCAATCCAGACCAGGAGAAGAATTCTAGCGTTTTAGCCCTACCGAACAGCCTATAATTCATCAGAATTTGAAGAACGAAATCCGAGCTCAAGGTTTCTTTGAATCTTTTCAATAAATGGTCAAGTTCGAGATTAGTTGTTTGGTGATCTTTGTTTGAAAGTAAAGAACATACTGAACTGACGGCATCTGTGTCCAAAGCCCGAGGGATTAGGGCAGTTCGCGAAGTGGGTCTTCTTGCAAGAGCTCTTGGAGCTATGGCAGTGCGCTTGGTGGTCGATGAAGTGCTGGAAGAGTATGAAGAGAAGCCATAAGCAACGAATTTGAGGTACGCCGAAGCATTCCTAATGGTGCTCGTGCTCAACATCGACGAGAAACCAATAGGTTCAACCTGGAAAATTCCTACTGTTTTGGCTTTAAATTTCGACCTATTTAATATTTCTAGAAATTTAAAAAAAAAAAAAAAAAACATTTTCTAAATTAACAAATAAGCCTTTGTCAGTTTTATCACGCCAACTGATCATCTTCTTGGATACAAAAATCTTTGTCATTTGTTTTCGCCATCAATTATCACCGTTTTGCTACCATTGATTGTTGCACATCATCCTTCAAAAGAAGCACTAGGATTCATTCATTGGGGCGAGTTTTTGACTATGCTAATGTTTTGGACTTTCGATCTAGAAATTTGATCAATGTTGTTGTAGTTTATATCGTGCTTCGTGTAGATATTCGAGGAAGGGTAGTAGTTGTCATTTCTGCCTAATACTGAGATTAAAAAGAGTGAACTTTGCACCACGCCATGAGATTGCGGATGAGTGCACAGACCGATTTAGCGTATTTGGTCAAGTGGTCTGATTCATCTATTTGTTTATAGACCGGATATTAGATATGCGTGCATGTTGTTGCTATGTGATTTCTTTGTTTGACTGACATCATACAAATATTATTATATGTATGTGGCATCTTGTGCTTTGATGGACATAGCATCATTAAATGAAATTGTGGCAATTATTGATTCTTAGTCATAGGCTGGTTGACCACGATCTTGATTTTATGAACCAAAGACTCGGAGATATTTTGAGCGTGATCACAAGATGATTGATTAGTACTTCTCAATTTGGATAGATGCATAGGTTAGAAACCTCTTTTTAAATCGTTTTAGGTTTCTAGTTTACTTTATACTTTTGTTACGTGTGTATTGCAAGTAGAACATCGAACCATCAATCGTTAAGACGATTATAAACCCTTTATCTACAGAATTATATACTCGAGAATAGGTTAACTTATGCACGAAATCAAACCAAAATTAAGTATCAGCCTCAAAACTTGGAAAAGGTCAAATATGGTTGAAGTATCAAAGTGAAATACTGTAACCTTTTTTAACATTATCTGAAGTCACCATCCAACCATATGACCAACCTCATATAGAATTGGATAATCCTTTTGTAATATCACTTTTTCAATACTTGAACTGATCAACTCATGAACTATGCTACAAACACATCATAAGTCAGAACCTTTCAACTTTTACAATATCAATCCAAGCATCCAAGCCATCAGGGGAATCAGAAATCAGTAAGTAAGAGACGAGATCGAGAACACACAACGCTCCCAGATTATGTGAGATCCCATATTGGTTGAGGAAGATAACGAAACATTCTTTATAAGGGTGTAAAAACCTCTCTCTAGTCGCCCTAGTAAAC